CCTCCATCGGCTAAACCACCAACTCACCAGGGAAATCCTCGGTAGACCCCATTTTCCAGTTTGCCCCTGGAAACCAGCACTTAAAAAATGCCTTGACTGGAGCCCCGAAGCAATATTTGAGATTAGAGCGCGATATTCCGAAAAGTGTTCACTTCGTTGGGATTTTCTAACAAATGGTGATGAAAAGATGACCTTTTCAATTAAAAACTTTGATCAGAAAGTAGACATTGCTCTGATTAAGACTTCATGTATTACTGAGCTTACATTGTTTCTTTAATAATATGACATTTTCCCTCGTTGTGCCTCACAAAGAGTAAAAGGGTTAAGAACATGCTTGTAAGTACTGGGGGAAAAGTTATTAAGGAAAGAAACGTAAGTCAAATTTTGCTCTTGTAGCTGTGTCAGAGACATTTAAGTTGAGGTTCTTGGAAACATCAACGTGGCACAAACCGAAGACTCAGTGTATGGCCCTGGCAGGGGCAGCTGGTTTCAAGCCCAGAGCACGTTCCTTGGTGGTTCATAAAGCACTGCCAGAAGATGTCAATGCATAACACAGCAAAGCAGCATTTTCTGCTGAGATGAGAATTTAGCAAGCAGGGAGCATTATAAAACAACGTAAAACCCCCTGCAAACTGGTTGGGGTAAGTCTGAAAGTGCGTCAGAGAAAGATGACTCTCAGAGTATAAGGTAAGTGGATTCCATTGACGGAAACCTCATCGAAGTTGAAAAATTAAAGCTTGCCCAGTTTTTTGTTGATGCGTATTAGTCATAATGTACACAGACAAAAGTAAGAGGATAGAGAGAAAAAGACCACATAAAAAGTGCTATGGTTTCAAAGAGGTTTTTTTGTTTTGTTTTATTTTTATTATTCAGAAAAGAAAACTTGCATTGTTCCTGCACAAAGGATCTTAGGTCCTGCTGGAGGCGAGTGTGCTGGGAAATAAGTTAGTCTGTCAGTTGAAATAACAAAAGCCATTTATTCCAAGGCAGGAGTTTCTCTCGTCATTTGGAAAGTATCTATGCTTCTTTGCTTCGCCAGGCTTTGGAGCCACACTCATATCCCAAAAGCCAGAGGTGTTGGGCTGCGAGTTGATGTCCTGCAGCACAGGAGAATTATGTGACATTAAATCAGGTTGTGAAGCCTTTCCCTGGCAGTAACGTTGTTAAGAATAAAACCAGAGGGTCCAGACTGCTGCCTAAGGATATTTAAACTCAGATATATCTGATTCACAAAATCAAATACAGAGCTCATATTTTGGAGAATAAATATAATCCCTTTTTGTATTTGATATTATTATTATTTGATCTTGTCTACATAACAGCTTAATGTGAGAACTTGTGCTGTCTGTGGAGGTTTCAGAGATTCTGAAAAAGTAAAATGTTCCTGAACAATGAAAATTAAACAAATGAAATTGGCCTGGACCAAAATAAAGGTGCCCCTAGAAAACATTGAAAATAGTTTGATGTGTCATTTTGCATTACAGGTGTCTTCGGGCTTGAAATTAGTCAGTCTGCTTATTTAAAGTGTGATAGGTCACTGAGCTGTTTGGTAATGTGTTGAGTACCACACTGGACATGAATCACATGAAGCAAAGGAGATAAGAAAGAAAATGATAGACAAGGACGTTTAAAGTTGAGGCTATTTGATCATCATTAGGCTGCTTGATGTTCCTGTGACTACAGTTGCACCTGTTATTGAGAAATTTAATGTCCGCATCATTGTAGCAAACCTTCCAGGTCAATGAGATTCAACAAAGAAGGAAAGCAAAGCAAAGAAAAGGGAGACTGAAATTTGCCACAGTGCATTTCGACAAGCCACGAAGCTTCTTAAAGAATGTCTTTGGACAGATTAAATAAAATTGGAGCTTTTTTGGCATTGTACTTCAAACTTATGTTCACAAGCTTAAAAATTAAGCTTACCAGGAAAATAACATTGTCCCTCCCTACTGTGAAACATGGAGCAGGCCAGGTTATGTTCTGGAGCTGCTTGCTGCATCTTTCTCAAATCTTGAATTTGTCCAGGGTATGATAAAATCTCAAAACTAATAAGACATTATGGAGAGAAGGCTTGGCGCAAGTAAACTTGATCTAGGTCATGAGTTTTTTATTAGGCTAATGGCTCAAAGCACAGATTAAAAAAAAAAAACACTGACAAATTCCTAAGAGCACAACACTGTACTATTCTGAATTGCCCTTCATTGGCAGTCACAGAAATTGTTCGATTTCAGTGATTATTTCAAAAAGTTGGGCAACAAAATATTAAGTTACAGGCACTGTTATTTTTGTCCAGGCCTGTTTCATTTGTTAATTTTTTTCAACGATTCAAAAGCATGGGTTAATTTTCAGTAATTTTTGATTTATTGCTGTTTTCAATTTCAAGATATTTCAGTGACAGTTGTGGGTAGCAACAATTTTGCTCATGTATGCAAAATACAAGAGTGTGGCAGGACTTCTGAAGTGTGCCTGCATATTTGACCTGAATGTTTTTTTCTACACAATGACGGCTGCCGAAATGTGCTGTGTCCTGCAGGCTTATGGAAGAGTGTCACAGGGTTGGACAAATGTAAACACTTCGGCATGAGGCCAGACACTAAGTTACACACAACCTGCACCTGAAATAACAAAGAGGTCAAAGCAGTCCATGAGGATTAGTCATAATTCCTTTTAGCTATTCTAGCTTTTATGAGTTAATGACCAGAAATTAGAGCACATTGATGCTGATTAATAAATAATAAAATTTTAAAAACATTTTGGCGTTATTAGCACCACGCAATTATAGATTTTAATTTGAATGTAATGCTTGCTAGAAGTTCAAATGTTTTTTTTAAGTATTATTTCAATTAATAATTTTAATTCTTTGTATAATAAAAACAAAACAGGTGTTTAAGTATTGCTCAGTTACATTAAAAGGCCCAAACTGAAGTATCCCACACTAACATTAATAGAAGGCAAAATGAAACCTTTCTTTTGTGGTAATAAACACCATCTGGATGTTGTTGTGTGTGGTTTTGCATAAAAATTCCAGTAGTTTTTGTCCAGCATCAACAAACATGCCATGTTCAACATCATTTAAACCTCTTTTTGTCCCAGACCTGGTACATTTTAGAAATGAAAATGTTTTAAAATTGCAAAAGGTTACAGTGAGCAGCATATTTTAGTTAAAATATCAACTGTTGAACATAGTAACTTTTGCATATTTTTTAACACATTAGTGATTTTTGATGTGTACTTTCTTTGACATATGAAGGTAATGTGTTCACGATTTGACACTGGTTGACAACGGTAGAGGAAGGATGAAGCCTGTGCCTAATCTGCAGCTCATGAAGGGGAATATGACTGCAAACTTCCCTTCATTCAGCAGCAGTGGAAACAAGTGATCATTCCATATGCTTTTACATCTCTGATGAGTTTTTCAGCCTTGTTGTGTGCTGCTGTAATGGAACATCCCCTCATGAAAATACTAATGGCAAGCTGTTTGAAGATGGTTATTTCTGCTAAGTTTTCTCTTGTCGTGGTTACATTTGGCACATTTGACAACTCCAGTAAAATATACACTTTGAAGTAATTCAGATTTAAACAGTTATATTTAATTTAAGAAATTGTTTAAAGCCTTTGACAATTTTGAGGAGTTGATTTTCTAAAAGACAAAAGATTTTAACTGTTCAGTAGGGGAATTGAACCCATGGTGCTATTAGCACCATACCTTAAACAGCTGAGCTAACCTGCCACACATGATTGTGAGGCTTCACTGATTTCAGACAAACTTATATGATCTTACCACAATGACGTAAGAAAAGTGCTCCTATTCAAAATGCATAATTAAAAGCCTAATGAAATTTTGAACTGTTGATTTTCTGCAATATTCTACTTATCACTTGGTCAGTATGGGGATGAACCCATGACCTTGGCGTTTTTAGCACCACGCTATAACCAGCTGAGCTAATTGGCCTTACATGACATTGTTTTTTCATCAATTTAAGAAAAACATCCATAATGTTACCACAATGACGTTTTGAGAAAAGTTCTCCTCTTCAAAATGCATAATTTAAATCCTTCTCATATTTTGAACTGTTGATTTTCTGAAATTTTCTATTTTTCAATTGGCCAGTATGGGGATTGAACCCATGACCTTGGCGTTATTAGCACCACGAGCTAACCAGCTGAGCTAACCGGCCTTACGTAACAGTGCATTTTCATCAATTTTAAAAAAACTTCCATGATTTTACCACAATGACGTTTTGAGAAAAGTTTTCCTGTTCAAAATGCATAACTTAGATCCTTCTGCTATTTTGAACAGTTGATTTTCTGAAATATTCTACTTTTCAATTGGCCAGTATGGGGATTGAATCCATGACCTTTATTAGCACCATGCTCTAACCAGCTGAGCTAACCGGCCTTACAAGACAGTGCATTTTCATCAATTTAAGAAAAACTTCCACGATATTACTACAATGACGTTTTGAGAAAAATTCCCCTTTTCAAAATGCATAATTTAAAACCTCCTGATATTTTGAACAGTTGGTTTTTTGAAATACTCTACTTTTCAATTGGCCAGTATGGGGATTGAACCCATGACCTTGGCGTTATTAGCACCACGCTCTAACCAGCTGAGCTAACTGGCCTTACATAATAATGTTTTTTCATCAATTTAAGAAAAACATCCATAATTTTACCACATTGACGTTTTGAGAAAAGTGCTCCTATTCAAAATGCATAACTTAGATCCTTCTGCTACTTTGAACAGTTGATATTCTGAAATATTCTACTTTTCAATTGGCCAGTATGGGGATTGTACCCATGACCTTGGTGTTATTAGCACCACGCTCTAACCAGCTGAGCTAACCGGCATTACGTAACAGTGCATTTTCATCAATTTAACAAAAACTTCCATGATTTTACCACGATGATGTTTTGAGAAAAGTTCTCCTCTTCAAAATGCATAACTTAGATCCTTCTGCTATTTTGATCAATTGATTTTCTGAAATATTCTACTTTTCAATTGGCCAGTATGGGGATTGAACCCATGACCTTGGCGTTATTAGCACCTTATGGTGCTAACCAGCTGAGCTAACCGGCCTTACAAGACAGTGCATTTTCATCAATTTAAGAAAAACTTCCACGATATTACTACAATGACGTTTTGAGAAAAATGCCCCTATTCAAAATGCATAATTTAAATTCTCCTGATATTTTGTATAGTTGATTTTTTGAAATACTCTACTTTTCAATTGGCCAGTATGGGGGTTGAACCCATGACCTTGGCGTTATTAGCACCACGCTCTAACCAGCTGAGCTAACCGGCCTTACTTGACAGTGCATTTTTATCAATTTAAGAAAAACTTCCACGATATTAACCCTTTGTCGTTTTGAGAAAAGTGCTCCTATTCAAAATGCATAATTAAAAGCCTTCTGATATTTTGAACAGTTGATATTCTGAAATATTCTACTTTTCAATTGGCCAGTATGGGGATTGAACCCATGACCTTAGCGTTATTAGCACCACGATCTAACCAGCTGAGCTAACTGGCCGTACAAAGCAGTGTTGTTTCATCAATTTGACAAAAACTTTCATGATTTTACCACAATGAGATTTTGAGAAAAGTGCTCCTATTCAAAATGCATAATTTAAAGCTGCCTGCTATTCTGATCAATTGATTTTCTGATATATTCTACTTTTCAATTGGCCAGTATGGGGATTGAACCCATGACCTTGGCGTTATTAGCACCACGCTCTAACCAGCTGAGCTAACTGGCCTTACATAATAATGTTTTTTCATCAATTTAAGAAAAACATCCATAATTTTACCACATTGACGTTTTGAGAAAAGTGCTCCTATTCAAAATGCATAACTTAGATCCTTCTGCTACTTTGAACAGTTGATATTCTGAAATATTCTACTTTTCAATTGGCCAGTATGGGGATTGTACCCATGACCTTGGTGTTATTAGCACTACGCTCTAACCAGCTGAGCTAACCGGCATTACGTAACAGCGCATTTTCATCAATTTAACAAAAACTTCCATGATTTTACCACGATGACGTTTTGAGAAAAGTTCTCCTCTTCAAAATGCATAAGTTAGATCCTTCTGCTATTTTGATCAATTGATTTTCTGAAATATTCTACTTTTCAATTGGCCAGTATGGGGATTGAACCCATGACCTTGGCGTTATTAGCACCATGCTCTAACCAGCTGAGCTAACCGGCCTTACAAGACAGTGCATTTTCATCAATTTAAGAAAAATTTCCACGATATTACTACAATGACGTTTTGAGAAAATGCTCCTATTCAAAATGCATAATTTAAATTCTCCTGATATTTTGTATAGTTGATTTTTTGAAATACTCTACTTTTCAATTGGACAGTATGGGGGTTGAACCCATGACCTTGGCGTTATTAGCACCACGCTGTAACCAGCTGAGCTAACCGGCCTTACAAAACAGTGCATTTTCATCAATTTAAGAAAAACTTCCACGATATTATCACAATGAGGTTTTGAGAAAAGTGCCCCTATTCAAAATGCATAATTTAAATCCTCCTGATATTTTGAACAGTTGGTTTTTTGAAATACTCTACTTTTCAATTGGCCAGTATGGGGATTGAACCCATGACCTTGGCGTTATTAGCACCACACTCTAACCAGCTGAGCTAACCGGCCTTACTTGACAGTGCATTTTTATCAATTTAAGAAAAACTTCCACGATATTAACCCTTTGTCGTTTTGAGAAAAGTGCTCCTATTCAAAATGCATAATTAAAAGCCTTCTGATATTTTGAACAGTTGATATTCTGAAATATTCTACTTTTCAATTGGCCAGTATGGGGATTGAACCCATGACCTTAGCGTTATTAGCACCACGATCTAACCAGCTGAGCTAACTGGCCGTACAAAGCAGTGTTGTTTCATCAATTTGACAAAAACTTTCATGATTTTACCACAATGAGATTTTGAGAAAAGTGCTCCTATTCAAAATGCATAATTTAAAGCTGCCTGCTATTTTGATCAATTGATTTCTGATATATTCTACTTTTCAATTGGCCAGTATGGGGATTGAACCCATGACCTTGGCGTTATTAGCACCACGCTCTAACCAGCTGAGCTAACTGGCCTTACATAATAATGTTTTTTCATCAATTTAAGAAAAACATCCATAATTTTACCACATTGACGTTTTGAGAAAAGTGCTCCTATTCAAAATGCATAACTTAGATCCTTCTGCTACTTTGAACAGTTGATATTCTGAAATATTCTACTTTTCAATTGGCCAGTATGGGGATTGTACCCATGACCTTGGTGTTATTAGCACCACGCTCTAACCAGCTGAGCTAACCGGCATTACGTAACAGTGCATTTTCATCAATTTAACAAAAACTTCCATGATTTTACCACGATGACGTTTTGAGAAAAGTTCTCCTCTTCAAAATGCATAACTTAGATCCTTCTGCTATTTTGATCACTTGATTTTCTGAAATATTCTACTTTTCAATTGGCCAGTATGGGGATTGAACCCATGACCTTGGCGTTATTAGCACCATGCTCTAACCAGCTGAGCTAACCGGCTTACAAGACAGTGCATTTTCATCAATTTAAGAAAAACTTCCACGATATTACTACAATGACGTTTTGAGAAAAATGCTCCTATTCAAAATGCATAATTTAAATTCTCCTGATATTTTGTATAGTTGATTTTTTGAAATACTCTACTTTTCAATTGGCCAGTATGGGGGTTGAACCCATGACCTTGGCGTTATTAGCACCACGCTCTAACCAGCTGAGTTAACCGGCCTTACTTGACAGTGCATTTTTATCAATTTAAGAAAAACTTCCACGATATTAACCCTTTGTCGTTTTGAGAAAAGTGCTCCTATTCAAAATGCATAATTAAAACTCTTCTGATATTTTGAACAGTTGATATTCTGAAATATTCTACTTTTCAATTGGCCAGTATGGGGATTGAACCCATGACCTTAGCGTTATTAGCACCACGATCTAACCAGCTGAGCTAACCGGCCTTACAAGACAGTGCATTTTCATCAATTTAAGAAAAACTTCCACGATATTACCACGATGACGTTTTGAGAAAAGTTCTCCTCTTCAAAATGCATAACTTAGATCCTTCTGCTATTTTGATCACTTGATTTTCTGAAATATTCTACTTTTCAATTGGCCAGTATGGGGATTGAACCCATGACCTTGGCGTTATTAGCACCATGCTCTAACCAGCTGAGCTAACCGGCCTTACAAGACAGTGCATTTTCATCAATTTAAGAAAAACTTCCACGATATTACTACAATGACGTTTTGAGAAAAATGCTCCTATTCAAAATGCATAATTTAAATTCTCCTGATATTTTGTATAGTTGATTTTTTGAAATACTCTACTTTTCAATTGGCCAGTATGGGGGTTGAACCCATGACCTTGGCGTTATTAGCACCACGCTCTAACCAGCTGAGTTAACCGGCCTTACTTGACAGTGCATTTTTATCAATTTAAGAAAAACTTCCACGATATTAACCCTTTGTCGTTTTGAGAAAAGTGCTCCTATTCAAAATGCATAATTAAAACTCTTCTGATATTTTGAACAGTTGATATTCTGAAATATTCTACTTTTCAATTGGCCAGTATGGGGATTGAACCCATGACCTTAGCGTTATTAGCACCACGATCTAACCAGCTGAGCTAACTGGCCGTACAAAGCAGTGTTGTTTCATCAATTTGACAAAAACTTTCATGATTTTACCACAATGAGATTTTGAGAAAAGTGCTCCTATTCAAAATGCATAATTTAAAGCTGCCTGCTATTTTGATCAATTCATTTTCTGATATATTCTACTTTTCAATTGGCCAGTATGGGGATTGAACCCATGACCTTGGCGTTATTAGCACCACGCTCTAACCAGCTGAGCTAACTGGCCTTACATAATAATGTTTTTTCATCAATTTAAGAAAAACATCCATAATTTTACCACATTGACGTTTTGAGAAAATGCTCCTATTCAAAATGCATAACTTAAATCCTTCTGCTACTTTGAACAGTTGATATTCTGAAATATTCTACTTTTCAATTGGCCAGTATGGGGATTGTACCCATGACCTTGGTGTTATTAGCACTACGCTTTAACCAGCTGAGCTAACCGGCATTACGTAACAGCGCATTTTCATCAATTTAACAAAAACTTCCATGATTTTACCACGATGACGTTTTGAGAAAAGTTCTCCTCTTCAAAATGCATAACTTAGATCCTTCTGCTATTTTGATCAATTGATTTTCTGAAATATTCTACTTTTCAATTGGCCAGTATGGGGATTGAACCCATGACCTTGGCGTTATTAGCACCATGCTCTAACCAGCTGAGCTAACCGGCCTTACAAGACAGTGCATTTTCATCAATTTAAGAAAAACTTCCACGATATTACTACAATGACGTTTTGAGAAAAATGCTCCTATTCAAAATGCATAATTTAAATTCTCCTGATATTTTGTATAGTTGATTTTTTGAAATACTCTACTTTTCAATTGGCCAGTATGGGGGTTGAACCCATGACCTTGGCGTTATTAGCACCACGCTCTAACCAGCTGAGCTAACCGGCCTTACAAGACAGTGCATTTTCATCAATTTAAGAAAAACTTCCACGATATTATCACAATGAGGTTTTGAGAAAAATGCCCCTATTCAAAATGCATAATTTAAATCCTCCTGATATTTTGAACAGTTGGTTTTTTGAAATACTCTACTTTTCAATTGGCCAGTATGGAGATTGAATCCATGACCTTTATTAGCACCATGCTCTAACCAGCTGAGCTAACCGGCCTTACAAGACAGTGCATTTTCATCAATTTAAGAAAAACTTCCACGATATTAACCCTTTGTCGTTTTGAGAAAAGTGCTCCTATTCAAAATGCATAATTAAAAGCCTTCTGATATTTTGAACAGTTGATATTCTGAAATATTCTACTTTTCAATTGGCCAGTATGGGGATTGAACCCATGACCTTAGCGTTATTAGCACCACGATCTAACCAGCTGAGCTAACTGGCCGTACAAAGCAGTGTTGTTTCATCAATTTGACAAAAAC